TTGGCTGACGTTTCCGTTGGCCGACCCCAGAGGGGATCTGTCGTGCACAACGGGGCCAGCGACTTTGAACGCGGGCTCCCTTTCCCGCGGACGGACAGTGAGTCTCCTTGGTGCCCAGGAGTGAGGGGACCGAGACTGGGATGAAACTTCTTCTCTCCCCTGCCGAGCAGCACCCTGTCCCGCGGATGCTGGGGTGCCCGCAGTTCCTGGCCTGTCTCGGAGTGGGCACCATGACCTGGTCCATTTCCAACCCTCCCCCCTTAAAAAAAAAGTAGGGGGAGAGAAAGAGGCAGGGGCACCCCTTCCTCCTGCAGCCCCGGCTTTGCGGCTGTGGGTCTCTGTGCTGTGTGTGTTTTGGCGAGGAAATGTGGGCGGGCCGAGCCACACTCGGACCCCGAAGAGTGGGAGCCTTGTAGTGCGGGGAGAGGCATGGGTGGCCGCGGCTGGAGACATCATTAGCCTTTTATGCCCCTTAACCGCCCCCCTCCCCCAGCCCATCATGTCCTACTTTTCATAAGCATGCATTGAATTCCTTCAGTGTACTGTCTTTTTGACCTTGTTTGCCAGTTTCCAGGCTCATTGACCGGTTTAATACATCAGTTATGACTACAACAGGGACAGATAGGAGAGAAGTGGGCGCAGGCGATCTTTCTATGGTCGGAAGTGCTCTGGAGCATATTTGGAGTTATTTGCTCCTTGTTAAACCATGATGGGGGGGGGGGGGTAACATGATCTCTCAGGAGGACCGTGGTTCCTTCTACCCTCTCCCTTCCGTACCTCCACTGAGAAGTCGCTTCAGGGAACATTGAAAAGGAAGGACTTGAACAAAGATTGGGGGCATTAACACTTTTTTTTTACGTTAGAAATGCCGGTTCCCATTTTCACTAGTCCTCATGCCATCAATCTAGGATAATTCATTTCTTTTGTTTAATTTCCAAAGAGTAGAATGTGAAGCGCTCAAAGGGATCTTTAAAGTATTTTAAGCCAACAGGCTTCTTTCGCAGTTGAAGACCCAGAGGCCTGAGATCAGGTGACCTACCCTAGGATGAGTGAGCTAGGGAAGTGGAAGGACTGGAGACCAGGACTCCCCCTTATTTCATACCAGTTGCAAAATCGATACACATTTTCTTGATGAACAATCATTACAAATGCATAACCGTTATAAAGAAGGAGCTCTCTGGAATAAAGACATTTTCTGTGCCCTGATTTTTAGCCCCAAGGAGCAGACCAGAATCCACTAGTATTAGATAACAGTTAAACTTCTAGGGTTTCTTTGATAGCTGTCCATGTGTGAAAGTTACTTTCTCTAAAACCAGAAGTTAAGCAAACAATTATATAGGCTGTCAGGCTAAGTTCTTGTTACTTCTGTTGAACTTCTGATTGACCTCAAAACCTCTTAAATAAAAATAAACCTCCAAATATTGACAAGGAACACTTTCACTCCACTGGTTAATCCAACAAAAATCTAGGAACAAGGAAAGGAACGGTTGCTGAAAATGTTTCTGTCCTATTCTGCTCTTTAGAATGGTCCAAAGCACCTCTTTTTGCTTCTAACTTTTAGTCAGAGTTTCCATGTATGGGCTCAGTACATTGATGAACAATTTTCAGAACACTTTTCTAGATATTATTTTAAATGGGAAAAGTTTTTATAGTCTTCAACTTAAGATGCTCACTTCACTTTTACCTGGATCACTACCTTAATGATTACACTCTTTTGTTTTTAATCCTTACCCAAGCATATGTTTATTTATTTTTAAAATGATTTTAGAGTGAGAGGAAGGGAGAGAGAGAGAAACATCAATGTGAGAGAAACATCAATCGGTTGCCTCCCGTACATGTGCGACTGGGATCAAACTGCAACCTCAGATATGTACCCTGACCAGAAATCAAATCCACCATCCTCTGGTGTTTGGGACCATCCACTGGTGTATTAGCCACCCAGCTAGGGCTACACTCTTTATTTTTAAGTGTAAGTCTTCTACACTTCAAGTGTCACAACTATGATCTGACCTCCCTTTAAAAAAATCTTCAGCCCGGCTGGTGTGGTTCAGTGGTTGAACGTGAACCCATGAACCTGGAGGTCACATGCCCTGGTTGCAGGCTCGATCCCCAGTAGAGGACATCAGGAGGCAGCCCAGCAATGATTCTCTCTCACTATTGATGTTTCTATCTCCCTCTCCCTCTATCTTCCTCTCTCTGAAGTCAATAAAAACATATTAAAAATATTTTAAAAAATCTTTATGGCCAATTAGTGAGTTTTGAAATGGCAGGAAATTCATAGATGTGGGAACCCTAAAATTAGAGAAGTTGAATGACTTTCCAAATGAGAAAAAGCATACTAGGTACTAGCCTTGATAATTTAATTCTTAGTTCACAGTTCTTTTTACTCACTTACCTTTTACTTTTCAATAAATAGAAGAAGTGTGGAAATAAAGAGCCACAGTAGATGTAAATGTATATAGATGCTGAGGTATTGTTAATCGGTTCATTGAGACCCAGGGAAACTCTGAGCTGTGCAACCTTAGCGTTTAATCAAGTTCAACACGGTGTTATTCATTCTTGGGAAGAGAAAGGTTTACTTCTTTGGAAGTACAGAGTAACTTTCTCATTTCTACCTGCATCTTAACTTAAATGATTTCCATTAATAATACATAAACCCTAAAAAGGAAACTGCTTCATTAATTTTCAGCTAAAAGAACATAACCAGAAACATGCTATAAGCCTAAGTACATTGGCACAAATATCTTAGATCAGGTTTAGAAGTAAAATTTACTTTGAAGATGAGTAGATTTTATGAAATAACTAGAGGCCCAGTGCATGAAATTCGTGCACGGGTAGGGTCCCTAGCGGCTGCCAACTGGGGCCTCCCTTTCCCTGGCTGCCTGCCACCTCTGCTGGCTGGGGTGGGGCCAGCTGGGGAGGACAGGCTGCGGGAAGTTGGCCAGCCAGTCCCACCCCCTGGTTGAATTCCCAGTCGAACTCTCAGTCAAGGGGACAATTTGCATATTAGGCTTTTATTATATAGGATAATAGTTCCTTTCATTTTTTAAGCATTCCAAATAGTTTTCTCTCCCTTTTCACCCCTAACCCCCATTAAAAAGTGTGAGTTCTGGAGCCCCCAATTGCTTCATCTTTAAAATTTTTCTTTTGATTTTACTAACTCATTTTCACTGATAAAGAATTTGTTTTTGCTTTTGTTTAAAGGAAAAGTTAAAATTTACATTTCCACTTTAGCTCTATAGCCATCTTAAGATCTGGATCTGGTTATTCTGGTGACATAGAAGATATACTCATTACCTTGGAGAGGGCCAGGTATCATTTTTAAATGGTAGTTTCATCTCTCACTTCTGTGCAAATATTTACCAAGTTTTTAATGCAGCCCTGGGAGACTTCCAGTTCCGCATTCAAAAGTTGAGCTGTCTATTGGCATCTCAGTGATCATGTCTCAGAGGGGTCTTAGGTTTCTCCAAGTCAGAACAATTCTCTCCTTTCCTTTTTAAAAGATATTTTGTAGGTAGCCCTGGAATACCCTCCCCATGTCTTTTCACAGTTTCGAGTTATTTAGAGATGCATCTAATAAAAGAAAACACACAGTATAACCCGTCTCCACCATTTAAAACATTGAAAGTCAAGAATCATTCCGCTGAATTACACCAATTAGTTAACAGTTATCATGTGTATTTATGTATGTGTATGTGAACTGTGGGAAGAGTTCTTTAAAAACTTGGTTGTTGTCTAACTAAGGTAGATGCGTTAGCTGCCCCAGAGAACCATGCAATGGAAGCAGATGCCATGTGTTGGCTCTGGAGGTGGCTCTCACTTGCGACCACATTGCTAACTCTGACCCATCTTACATGGACATTCTGGAGGCACCACTGTGGGCAGAA